GAGGAGGTCGCGGCGGCGGTGGCGGCCGCGGCCGCTGTGGCGGCGGCGGCCGCGGCCGCAGCGGGGGGCGAGACAGAGGAACCGGTGCTGAGCAGGGACGAGGACTCAGAGGAAGACGCAGACTCCGAGACAGAGCGCGAGGCTCGGCGGGTCACGGCCGTGGCGGTGATGGCGGCGGAGCCCGCGCACATGGACATGGGTACCGAGGCCCTGCCCGGGCCCGATGAGGCAGCCGCCGCCGCCGCTGCCTTCGCAGGCAAGTGGGTCACCGCGCACCTGCCCGCGTGCACCTGCTCCATACCTGCCCCACATGCACTTCATCAAGCACCTGCCCTGGCCACCTGTCATACACACCTGCTTGTCCATCGAAACTGTCCCGCATGCACCGCACACTTGCCCCGTATGCATCATACACCTGTTCTGCATGTGCTGCATCTGCCCCACATGCACAGCACCATGCACCTGTCCTACATGCACCTGCCCTATGCACCTGTTGTTCACACCTGTCCTGCACCTGTTGTACCTACCCTGCGTACCTGCTCCATAAACGTGCCCCTCATACTTGCCTTGTGCCAGACCCATACATTTGCCTCACACCTCTCTAGGTCCACACCTGTCCCACACACCTGCCTCACACCTGCTCCACATGCCTACTTCACACATATTTGTGCCACAAACCAGCCCTGCCCCACACACCCGCCCTACACGTGTCCCACACTAGGCTATTCTGCACCCTACCTGTCCTACGTATTTGCCCTATACCTGGCTGCACATCTGCTTTCCATTTGTCTTGTATATCTATCCCTACACCTATGACATACACTTGTCTTACACACATGCCTTGAGCACTTGCCCCTATCCCACACACCTGCCCTATACCCACCCCACTCTGACTGCTTGGCCCTGTGGTGCACGGGTACTTGCTTCCTCCTGCAGTGCTGCTGTCCAGTGCTTTTTGTGGATACTTCTCACCTCTCACCCTCCTTGTCTCCTTCATCCTGAGAGCTGGTGGGCTTGGAGGGTCAAATGTGGACCCTGCCCTGAGAAGCTCAGACTTACGGTTGGAGGAGGTCTGGTTGCCTAAACAACCTGAGTGCCAAAGGTGGCAGCAGGGGTGTCCCCTGCCAAGCTGGCTGCTCCATGCTGACTTGCCCATTAAGGCTCTCCTTTTCTTCCTGTCACTCCTAATTTCTTAGCACACCACCTTCACTCAGGTTTCCTGGCCCTGGGAGCCAGGCTTTGGTGAGGCACACTGTGGAGGTCCCTGTGTGCCTTCCCAAATGCCGTGCCTCTTCTTAGCTGTGGCTCCCAGGTGTGTACACAGACTGGGAGGAATGCTGTTTTGTTGTCTCCTTGCATACTGAACTTTTCCTGTAGGAGCCTTGTCTTCAGACCTGGTTGTGGGCCCGGCACTGAAGTGGAGCTTTGGGCTCAGTGCTGGCTGTGATTGGGGCCCTGTCCAGCACCGTGAGGAACCCCAGTCTGGGAGCTTGTTGGGACCCATGGGTCTCGGTGGTGGGCCTGTGCTTCTGGATTGGTGCTGCTGGTCCTCATGTGGAGTGTTGTGCTGCTCGCGGAAGACAGGGAGGCACGCACAGCGCACTTAGCGCTGTTTTCATCTGTAGGTTCTGCATGACGTTAGCATTTTGGAGCATGAGGTTTTTTGCACTTATTTTTCTAGATGCAGGAAAAAAATAGTATACTGTCCGTTGCGAAATTAGAGAAATTTATGTTGTACATTTTTTTCTATAGATTATTATTATTATTATTATTATTTGTTTGTTTT